CAATAAAACACAGATTGTCACCCAAAATAGGACAGTGCCATTATGACCAATTTGGGTATGTATGAAGGTAAAAATGACCAATGAACTTAATCTCCAGTTCCAAGATCTATTGGTGAGTGACTAAGTTAAAAACACATTTACTTAAGACCCTTTTGGTTTATAATTCCTGCCTATTGCAAGACCAATGGAATATAGATTATACTCAGAAATGGAGAGGGTTTCTAATACATGAAAATTCATTAGTGGTGTTTTGGAATACTCCCACTGCCACATGAAAACAATTAGTCATTCATTAGAAATTTGGTGATGATTCTAAACATATTAATTTGATGAGAAATTGCTGGAGAAAAAAAACTACACTATTATATCTAACCACCGAGCAAGATACAGCCTCATTCAATAATTTATCCCATTATGCCATAGTTAATAATATGACCTTATGGTGGAATGCCACCTATTTTCAAAAACACGAATAACCCAGCAATGAAAATTAATCAAAAGATGTAGCAATGGGAACTAATTATACCAATTGTGGCAGCAAACACCACCATATACCCAACTGCTAAATTTAAAAAAGAAAATTGTTTCTATCATACTACAAATGGTAATTTAAAAAGGAATAGACCCTAAACTTCACCACATTCACCACCATATACATTAGTATCATGGACAACAGTATACTAATTGGGTGCCTACATGTTTAGAAACCAACTTGTGGCACACAAAATATGGTTCTGAACCAACTGATACAGATCCATGGCCAATTAAATATTAACCTTACAATATAACTATAACTAATGCTGAAAAACCATCTCAAAATGATACTCAGCTACTACATCTGTTTGATGGCATAGATGTACATGATGAATCCTCTTTCCAGTTTAGGTTACATTTTCCACAATGTAACTCAACTAATAGAAAAACTTTCAAAGATTTTTCCAATGATTGGCCTTATCAAGGAAAAGATGCTAATTGGTGGAAAGCATATGGATTAACTCTAAAAGGTCAATATGATTCAGTCAAAAGAATTACTCCAGGGTTAACCCCATATATGTTTACCATGTTGATACCCAATGGTCCTCACTGGCAATTACAAGAATGGCCCATACATTCACCTCAGATTTAATGATAGTATTTTAAATCTTTATATACCAGAATGGATTTATCCAATATCATTTTCCAAATGTCATGTTAAACCTTCATCCCCAGGACCACATTACATTTACAGAGGTCAATGTAATGATACAGTCCATTTATGAACACAGCATTGGAGACCACAATGGACTAAAAGGACATATAAATCCATCACCAAGAATATTCAAATCTCCACGGCTAGTTCCCTCACCACTCCATTCTTACAGGCTAATCTATAATTCTGATCTATATAGAATCAAACTGACCCTCACAAAAGATTCATTTTGGATTTATATTTTTGTCGTGCAACACAAATTACATTCTCTGCATTTATTAGATCTCCTCCTATCAATACTCATCCTCCTCCATGTAAATTACAACGACTAGGGATGATTATGTTAGGAGTGAGAGTTCTATCGAATTTTTTTGTGGAACATGGAACAATAGAATCACATTGATCAATTGCCGATAGAATCATGAAATTTTAAGACTGTCATCAAGGGACATATGCAGCTAATGGATAATACATTGGCTACTATATCCCAAAGTTTACAGCAGGCTCAATGGATGATTCAGTCATTGCAGGATCAACAGATTTATAATATAAAAATACTGAAGACATTGAAGAAGAAAGACAAAGACCAGGTTATAAAAGTGATAAAATTTATGCAGCATTGAAAAGTGCTACAAAAAGAGGAAAAATGTAAACAAGTCCAGGCACTGTTAGACCAAGGATGGAGGAATATCAGAAACACCTCCTAATTAATGGAAGAATGGTGAGTGAGTATAATGAACAGATGATACTCGACTCAGAAAGAAGTAGTTGTTTGGTAGATGATAAATGTGAAATTAATGTAATAAAAATAAGGGATGACCAATACACTATAATAAGAAGGGCTATTAATGTGCCTAAGAAACTTAAGGATGGAATGTTTGGTCAAGCATTAGGTGATTACTAGTTGTGGGAAACTTACCCTATAGATACAAGTCAATTGATAAGAGTTTAATGAGTGTGTCTTATTGCTATGGATAATGTAATGGCCCTACCAACCTATGCAAAGGTTAGATTGAACGAGTTCAGACCAATGGTGAAAAACTTGGGAAATTACCAGTGGATCATTTGTGGTAATGATACTTACTAGTTGTACAATCATACTAGTGAATCAAATATAAACTTGACATGGTGATTCAAGAAAAGTAGATGGCATCACCTTGAAATAGGGACCAGGCGCTTAATTCACAGACACCAACACCAAAAGTACAAGTTATAAAAAGGAGAGGTTTTTATTAGCCAAGAGCCAGGTTGCCGCTTGCCTGCTGGACATAACAGTCCCACAGCAAGAGGCGTCCACTAGCTATAGGGGCTTGCTTAAACGGGGGAAAACCACATTGGGACTTTCCAAGTAGGCCAAACCGCAACATTCTGGAGGCCTAGGTACCTTTCAAGCAATGCTAGCAGGGTTCACAGAAGCAAAAAAAAAAGCGTTAAAACAGTTTAACCTAGCCTGCAGGTGCTGTTGCCAGTTTCCAGGAAGGGAACTTTTTAACTGTGCAAAGGCTGAGTACATGTTTAACTGTGCAAAAGCTGAGTATATGTTTAACTGTGCAAAGGCTGAGCACATGTTTAACTGTGCAAAGGCTGAGCACATGTTTAACTGTGCACAGGCTGAGTACGTGTTTAACTGTGCAAAGGCTGAGTTTATGCTTAGTCTAATTTCTGACATTGTAGATGTCTTTTTAAGCCCCCTTCCACAGCCTGAGCTGAGAATAGGCAATCGAACTTAGGTAGACACCAGTGCAGTAGATAAATCTTTGCAGGAAAACGTAAAGGAATTAGAAGAATGATATAATGAGTCAGTGAATCCCTTAAAAATGTCACACATCAAAACCAGATTGTAAAAGATATGATGGCGATTCTTCATGCCAATACACTGAATTTTAAGTTTAATATAACCACAGAACATAAGAGATGTACAATAGTGCAATGAATATGAAAAACATTTGGAAAGAAATGTTTTGGTTCTTGGAAAACATTCAATCCTGTAGAATGGACTGGTATTGGATTTTCATATGCTTGGAGACATGAAAGAGTTGATAATAGAAATTTTGTTAGTAGTGTTTGCAGTGATAATAGTTAAGAGGACTATGTTTACAAAAATAAAACTGATTCCCAGAAATACAACTGTAACATTCCTCGGAAACAGAGGATATGTCAGGAGAGCTCTTAAGTGTGGCCGTTGTCTTAAGACATGTAATGGGTGTAACTTAGAATGTGAGCCAAAAGCGAACGCCCTGGACTGATAACTCCAGACAGAGTAGGTCGCCCACCTGCGTCAGATAGTTATCCATGAACCACTCTCTACACGTACTATAGGACACTGGGATGGGACTGCACGAAATCCGGTCAGGAGACAGTCGCAGGCTCTGCGGGCGCACGACTCGGCGGAAAGCTCCCGCGGGGCTGCCGAAGTGGGGCCCATCCCGGGCTCCCGCAGGAAGGGCCGCTTGCATCCTGGGCGCCGTGGCTTCGGCACCCGAGCCTCCAACGGAGTGGCCCGCGTGGTTTTGGCAAATGCGTCAAGAGCGCAGAAATGCAACGGCAAAAATGCGACTCAGGGTCCGAGCGCCAGGGTCGCAACTGGCTCGAGACATACGATCTGGGTGAGGATCCTCCCCTTCCGCCCGGGCCGACACAGGCCCAGCCCCCCAGAGGCTGCGTGGCCCGGCGCCCCGTCCCGATCCCCAGGCGGCCCCGCTGGACTCGGTCGCACCCCCGGCCTGGAGTCTCTTCGCGGCGCCGACGACCGCGGCCCCCGTCTCAGCTGCCAGCAAGCGAGGGTCACAGGACGCACCTTCGCGTCCAGGAGGGACAGGCGTGCGCTGTCGGAGCGGTCCGTCGGTAACGTGTCCACGCGAACCCACGGCCTCTGAGGGCGACTGTGTGGGCGAGCCTGGGCTCCTGGAGCCTCCCATCCCGCGCCCGCGCACGTCTGTGCTCAGCCGCAGACTGAACCCCGCAGAAAGCGACCCTTGAAGAAGAGGCTCAGCCCCGCCCCGGAAGCTGGGGGGACGGCTTTTCCCAGCGCCTGGTGGGCGGCTGCTCAGCCTTTGTTCCGGCGGCTCTCAGGCGGAGCGCCGTGGCCCAGAGCGGCGAAAACTACGCTACCCATGATGGCGGGCGCCGAGCGGCGGAGACCCTGAGCCAATGAACGCCCAGGATCGGGCGTCTCTGCGTCTGTTGGATGAGGCGGGACTTCCGGTATCGCTCCGGGTACCGTCATTCGGGTTGCACTCTGGGTCTGCGCGTGCCGGCTGAGGTAGGCTCGCTGGGTCTGCCTTCTGAGTAGAGGTCGTCGCTGCCCGGCAGCCGGCGGGCGGGCGGCGGCGGCGACGGCTCTGCTGGGTCCCCGCCCACACTGTCCGTCCCTCCCGGCCCCGCTCCGCCCCTCTGGTAAGTGCTGCGTCCTCCGGGCCTCACCCGCCCAGGTCCTGATGCTGCCGGTGGGGCGCCTGCTCACGTCCCGGTAGCCAGACCCCAAGGTCCGGGACCCCGAGGCGCCTTGGGGTAGGGTTCTTGTTTCCGATCCTAGTGTCACGGGGTATGGGAGAGTGTGGCACTCGGGGAGACGGTTTAAATTTTGTTGGGACGATTGAGCCAAGAGCGTTCTCGCCTGGAATGGCAAGGTCCTCTTTACCTTTTTCTCAGGATACTGGGAGCCATGGAAGGTTGTGAACAGAAGAGGCGCGTGGTCTAAGGGAGACTTTTCAGAAATCCCCAAAAGCTGCTCACGGTTAGAACAGCCTGGAAGGGGTATGATAACGCCGAGGCGCAGGGAGGTTGAGGCCGTGTTCAAGTTCCCAGAACAGGTAAGAGTTAGCACTAAGGACCGGAGGACTGTGGAGCAATGATAATACAGTCATCCCCAGGTCACCTGGCTCCAGGGCTGGGCAGGGGAGCAAGGAGACTGAACCTGTGGAGCCCCCACCATGGTCACCTGCCTCTCACAACCTTCCTCTTCCCACAGGTTCCCATGACTACGGAAGCATTTATGGGCTTCACACAGGTGAGTGGAGAGTGTTTCAGGCCCTCACTGTTGCTGACCCCAGTGTTTGTTTCTGGAATTGTGTCCTGGAACTCTTCTGGCACTCTTGCAGTCTTTGGGCCTAAACAAGCATTGATCCTGGGGTCATATGTCCAGGCTAAGGGTTATATGGGACTGTTCCTACTATTGGAAACCAGCATGATAAGGTGTGGAAGGCTGTTCCTGACTTAGACACCAGATGAGCAATGCTTGAAGGTGAGGCTGGGCTGGTTTAGGGAACACTAGGTCTTCCTTCTCATGGGAACTGAAAGCTGGAGTGTAGGACTCAGACCAGAAATGGGTCTCAGATGTTGGGTGTCTCTTCTGGAATGAGGTAGGCAGTGGGAATTTTGGAGGTAGGTGATCTGATCCAGGTCTCATCAGGCTCCCTGAGGTGCAGCGTGAAGAAAAGACTTGAGTGTGATGGATGAGATAGGAAGGCTAAGGAGAAGGCTGCTGCAATAGTCTAGGTGAGTGTTGATGGCGGTTAGACATGTGGGTGACCATGGAGGTAGTAGAAGTAGTTGGATTCTAGAGTTTTGTTTTTTTTTTTAAGTAGGGAAGTCTGAATTTTCAGATGTTGAGGATGAAAGAAAAGTAGGAGTCAAGGGGGAAAGCAAGGCATTTGGGCTTGCAGCTAGAAGTTCGGATGTTCCACTAACTAGGATTGTAAAGTTGGTGGCAGAATCAGTTATTACTAGAGATATCAGAAGTATCGTTTTGGAACATATTTAGGGTCTGAGATGGTGGCTCACGCCTTTAATCCCAACACTTTGGCAGGCAGAGGTGAGAGGATTGTCTGAGTCCAGGGGTTCGAGACCAGTCTGGGCAAGTTGGCAAGACCTCGTCTCTACAAAAAATAAAAAATTATCTGGGCATGGTGGCATACACCGGTAGTCCCAGCTACTTGGAAGGCTGAGACAAAAGGATCACCTGAGCCTAGGAGGTCAAGGCTGCAGTAGCTGTAAAGATGCTACAGGTGCCACTGCACTCAGCCTGGGCAACAGAGTGAGACTCCAACTCAAAAAAAAAAAAAAAATTGGAAAGGAAAACAAAAGTCCCACTTAGATTTTCAAAGAACAGTTAGCTTAAACATCAAGTGGGTAGTTTGCCACACAGGAATAGAACTGTGGGGAAGGATTCAGGATGGATAAATTTAAAAGGTGGTGGCTGATGTCTGTTTAGGGGCACAAGAGGTCATCTGGGAGAGTCACGAGGCCTGAGGTAGAGAACATCTGGGGCAGGCTTTGAATGAGGGTTAGCAGGAGAGGAAGACTGTAAGTACAGCACAAGTGGAAGAAGGCTGTGGGTGTAAGATCCCCAGGTGGTCTGGATGGCTGAGGTTGAAACAAGGAACTCAACCAGGCAGGGAGGTTTTCACAGGATTGGGGCTGCCTCTGGCAGTAGAGACCATCAAAGCTCTGGGTAGCACTAGACCTTATTTAAATTTGCCAAGTACTCTCCAGGCTGCTGTCTTCCAAGTAACACCAGGGATGCCAGGGAGTTGCCCATGGTGTAGGACAAGGGGTGGAAGTAGCTATGGGAGTGAAACTGTAAGTGTGCTACAAAGAGTGATGTGCACATGGAGAGGAAGTGTGAACCAAAGGACCCTTGGTCATGGCATTGAGAAATTAAGAATGATGGGTGATCCCACGTTTGTTTGTATTTAAGAGACAAAATCTTGGAAAGCCCAGGAAAACTGTCTGACACGAGGGAATCTAACCTTAGATGCCAGGCCCAGAATTTAAATGACATCTCCCAGTCCACCTGCCTGTTAGTGCTGTGGGAGGAAACAGTGATGATGGGACCGTGAGAATAGGGAAGAAATCAGTGCCACCAGAGCCTGCTATCTCCTCTGAGGTGGGGATTAGGGAAAAGGGTGAGCAAGGGAATGTTGTGTGTGGGGGTGAACTTGGGACTCAGGAAAGATGATCATGGAAAGATCTCCCCATCATGGCAGGGCTCTGTGACCTTTGAGGACGTGGCCATTTACTTCTCCCAGGAAGAGTGGGGGCTCCTTGATGAGGCTCAGAGGTTCCTGTACCGCGATGTGATGCTGGAGAACTTTGCACTTATAACCTCACTGGGTAAGGCCCTCATACCCACTGTAGTGTCCTGGTCTCTGTCTACCTTCTCTGTCCTTTCCGTAGCCAGATCATGGGTTCTGCTGACATCTCCACTGTTTTGGCTAATGTGCTGTGGTATCAGGGATGAACTGTGTGCCCTCTCCTAGTAGCCTTGACACATGTTGTCCCAAAGCATGCAGGGAATGGTCTGGGTGTCAGGTGTCTTGTGTCAGCCTAATGCTTCTCACCTTACTTCACTCCGTCTTTGGGTTGCTGTGTTCAGATCCATAGCACTTTTGTGTCCAAAGTTCTGCCTCCTTCTAGATGACATTTTCTTTGGCTGCCTTTGTCAGGAATTTGCAGGCATTTTCCTTATCAATATTTGTATGGACCATGGGCTTTTGTTGCCCAAAACTTTCTCTAGGGATCTGTGTGATTTTTCTTTCCTGTGTCTCTACGGTGCTGAGTTGTTCTGGACCACTGCTGAATGGTCACCTGTCCTGTCTTTCCCTTAGGACTTGTTTAATTCAAGTCCCATGTGATTGCTTCATAGGGTGAACATGGTAATATGGCCTCAGAGAATGCCTGGCCTTGATCAGTGGCAATTGGGTAAGGGCATGACATCCAGGCTGATTTCTAGTCTTATCGGGTACCTGTCCTGTGTCCACCAAAGTTTTAGTGCTAATGCCTCTGGACACACTTTATTTCTGCTTTTCCTCTTGATAATTTCCTGGCTTATTTTAATCTGACATTGGGCCTTGTGTTGTTCCCACCTTTCTATCTCCCATGTGTCACTTGTTTTTCCGCCTGCTCTTTCTACCATGTTTTCTAACACTGACCCACTAACAATGTGTCATATAATGTGCACATGTCCTTGAACACAAGAACACAAATGAAATCTTCTCAGCTCAAGAACTGGATTTTTTTGGGCCTGGATACTACCAACCTTTAGCACAGCATGCATGTCAACAGCCGACAAGGTCTTGCTGAAGGCTTTGACAGAAGAGTAAAGTGGAAACCCTGCCTCTCCTCCATATGCTACACTCCTGCCTTGTGTCCTTTGTCTGTTGAGGCCTTCCCATTTTGTGATCGTTAGAGGCCCAGTACTGCCAAGCAGCCCCTTTCTTACCCTGCTTCCAGCTCCCTCAGTATTGCTTCATAGCAACACTGTGTATTCATTTCTTGACATATATGTGATGGGTCTTCCCCTTTCCCATTTTAAAATGCACCCACAGGGTTTTAATTTATGGAGGTGACTGAGTGCCAAGACACTGTCTTAATTAACAGAAGAATTTTTTTTTTCACTTTATGTGTTTTTTATTCATCATGTTATTGTTTTTCAATACATGTATGTTTAATTATACTTTTGTTTTTTAATTTTTTATTATCTTTTTTTAAAAAATTATAAAGATATAGGGTACAATTCAGGGTTAGATATACAAACGTTGATTATGCAGGTACCCTTGTTGATGAGGTATGCCCCTCCCTCCTCTAGCAGTTTCCCTCAACCCCCCTCCCCTGACAGTTTCCCACTACTGCGAATCCCTTTCTTATAGTATTATAGTTGTTCAAGGTCCGCTTATGAGTGAGACATATTGTACTCTGTTCTTTGTTTCAGTGATAGGTCACTGAGTATGAGCGACTCCAATCCATCCAAGTTGCTGCAAAGTCTATATGTTTGTCTTTCTTTATGGCTGCATAACATTCCATCGTGTATATGTACCACATTTTTTTATCCAGTCCAGCTTTGATGGGCAACATGGTTGGTTCCATGTTTTAACAGAAGAGTTTAATACCTACAGTGGCAAAATGATTACCATGCCACTGAAGGCCATATAACAACATGCCCAGTGGTCAAGAGGAGAAAGCAAGAGAGAAGGAAAAACAATAAGCCATAGCTTTGACTGGGGTTTCTGCAGGAAAGGTAGGGCACGGTAAACAGTGTAGGATTGGATGATTTGAGTAATTTCCAAAAGCTTTCAGGAAAAAAAGATGACTAGCCTTAGTTGTATGCTACTTGAACTTGGGATGGCTAGGGCAAGGGAAGTGTTCTCCTGAAGTGTCCAGGCCACCTCAAAAGTGTGATTTGGCTAGGCACAGTAGCTCGTGCCTGTAATCCCACCACTTTGGGATACCAAAATGGGAGGATTGCTTGAGCCCAGGAATTCGAGACCAGCCTGGGCAATATAGCAAGACCTCATCTCTACAAAAAATTTGCACACATATAGTCCCAGCTATCCAGGAGGCTGAGGCAGGAGGATTACCTGAGCCCAGGAGGTACAGGCTACAGTGAGCTGTGATCGTCCTCACTGCAGCCTCAGCGACTGAGCAAGACCCCGACTCAAGACAAAAACAAAAATGATTTGGAATATGGGCTCTGGATTGGCTAATTTGTGTTCAAAAGCTGAGCCCTTTGCTATCTCTTAAGAATTAGCTAGCTCTGGAAGCAACATTCTCCCCCAGCCAGCAGAGTTTTTAAGATTTTAGAACACCATATTATACGAAAAAAATTTTTTTTTGAGTCAGAGTCTCTTCACCCAGGCTGGAGTGCAGTGGCATGATCATGGCTGCTGCAGCCTTGACTTGCTGGGCTCAAGCAATCCTAATGCTTCAGCATTCCGGAGTAGCCAGAACTACAGGAGCATACCACCATGCCCAGCTCATTTTTCAATTTTTTTGTGGAGACAAGGTCTTGCCATGTTTCCTGGGCTGGTCTCAAACCCCTGAGCTCAGGCAGTCCTCTTGCCTCTGCCTCCCAAAGCATTGGGATTACAGGCGTGAGCCACTATGCCTGGCAGACAATGTTTTTTTTTAAATGATGAATACATTCCCACCATAGTCAACTTGCATTTAATTAGCATTTCTCTGCTTTCAGTTTGTTGGCATGGAAAGGAGGATGAAGAGATACCTTCTGAGCAAAGTGTTTCTTTAGAAGGTATGTCACAGATCAGGACTCCAAAGGCAAGTCCATCCACCCAGAAGACTTACCCCTGTGACATATGTGTCCCAATCGTGACTGACATTTTGCAGCCGGCTGATCTACTTGGACAAAAACCATACTTGATGGGGGCATGTACAATTTTTAACCGGGACCAGAAGCACCACGGTGCAGAGAAACTCTTGGAAAGGGACATGGACAAAGCCTCATTTGTGAAGCACTTCCTATTCCAGGTATCAGGGAAGCCCTTCCCTAGTTGGGAGGTTGAGAAGGACCTTCCAGACACATTGGGCCTTCTTCAGCCCCAGGCTTTTCCCAACTGTGCGAAGCCAAACAAAATCACCGAGTGTGAGGAGGCCTTTCACATCGGAATGAGTCATTACAAGTGGGATGAATGCAGAAAAGATTCCAACCACGAACACACTCTTATTCACCCAATAATTTGTGCTGGGCAAAGGCTCTGTGAATCTACCAAATGTAGGAAAGCCTACCGCTGTGAGATCTCACTTGTTCAGCTCCAGAGAGTCCATACTGGAGAAAGACCTTATGAGTGCAGTGAATGTGGGAAATCTTTCAGTCAAACCTCCCACCTGAATGACCATCGGAGAATCCACACTGGAGAAAGGCCTTATGTGTGTGGTCAGTGTGGAAAATCATTTAGCCAAAGAGCCACCCTCATTAAACATCACAGAGTTCATACTGGAGAAAGGCCTTATGAGTGTGGTGAATGTGGGAAGTCTTTTAGCCAAAGTTCCAACCTTATTGAACACTGCAGAATTCACACTGGAGAAAGGCCATATGAATGTGATGAATGTGGAAAAGCTTTTGGGTCCAAATCTACTCTTGTTCGGCACCAGAGAACTCACACAGGAGAAAAGCCTTATGAATGTGGTGAATGTGGGAAATTCTTTACACAAAGCCATAGCCTGCTTGAACACCGCATAATTCATACTGGAGCAAGGCCTTATGAGTGTGGCCAATGTGGGAAATCATTTAGCCTAAAGTATGGCCTCATCCAACACCAGTTAATTCACAGTGGAGCTAGGCCTTTTGAATGTGACCAGTGTGGAAAATCTTTTAGCCAAAGAACCACCCTAAATAAACACTACAAAGTTCATACTGCAGAAAGGCCTTATGTGTGTGGGGAATGTGGGAAGGCTTTTATGTTCAAATCTAAACTTGTTCGTCACCAGAGAACTCACACTGGAGAAAGGCCTTTTGAGTGCAGTGAATGTGGGAAATTTTTTAGACAAAGCTATACGCTTGTTGAACACCAGAAAATTCACACTGGATTAAGGCCTTATGACTGTGGTCAGTGTGGGAAATCCTTTATCCAGAAGTCTGGCCTCATTCAACATCAGGTAGTTCACACTGGAGAAAGGCCTTATGAGTGTGGCAAATGTGGAAAGTCCTTTACACAACACTCTGGCCTCATTCTCCACCGAAAATCTCACACCATGGAGAGGTCTCATGAAAGCAGCAAATGTGGAAAAGCCATCACGCCAAGGTCTAATGTTTAGTCAATGAAAGTCCACACTTGAGAAAGGCCTTCTAGCTGAAGGAAATATGCTATTTTTCTTCAGTATTATGGCATAGAGAGCCTTTGTGAGGAAGCCATCAGCCTAAAGTTGAACCTCATACTTCCAAATCACCAGAGTGAGAGTCCCCTAAGTTCCAGGCACATGTGAGACTCTCAGTAGTAGCTGTGCATATTCTAGGCTGCCCAAGGCCCTTGCCAGAGTCAAACCATACTCTGGTAGAAGCCATCTCCCTTCTACCACCTTGCACAGGGGGAATTGGTCACCCTGACTTGGTAAGATAAGGCAGATACTGTGTTTTCATCCCTTGAAGGGACTCTTAAGCAGTTTGAGCCTTTAGAGGAAAATTCATTTTCTTTTCTGACTGAATAAAGCAAACATTTGACTCAGTTTTGGCCAGGAGGATTCAGCCTGGGTTCTCGAGGCTTATGTGGAAGGCTTCCTTTTTTCATGGAAATTTTTGGTCTCACATGACACTTATTGGTAATTTTTCCAGCCTCCCAGTCACCAATTGGTAATTGGCTGCCTGACATTGCTCTGGTCTGTGTGCTAATAAAGGCCTTATTGTTAAATCTACCTGCAATCTTGGGGTTTTGTTTACTGTGTGGAGTGGCTAGAAAACAGACTTGGGCTCTGTGTGAAGGAATGTACAGCTTTTGTTGGGGCCCCACCTTTGTGGGCCTATGCAGTAAAAATAAAAGTAGTTCTCTGGTTGGTCGAATTTTCCTTGCAGCTCAATGCATGGCTTTGTGGCCTTGGTGTCTCCTTTTTTTGCAAAACCAAAGGTCACCTTGAGGAGAGTCAGTTGTTCAGACAAATTCTGGTGTGTCTGTACATAAGATGAATTTGTTGCTTTGTTCTCACAGGCTGTCACATAATGCCCAGTACTGTTAAGGGGAAGCTTTTCCCTAGGTTCTGCAAAGAAGCCATGTGCCCTGATGTCCATAACTCTATAGTGTCAGTCATGAATTGATGAGAGCTAGGCATGAGCTGTAATTGCTATAGAAGTATTGGGTGTGATTAATAGTGGAGAATCCTGCAGCAAAACAAATGTGCCTCTGTTATAAATGCATCCACACATCTAGTGATTGGCTGTGTCTTGGTTTATTTCCATATACTAAATGTGACAGTGCAGGCTTGGAAAGAACAGCCCATGAGGGTCAGAGCTTGGAGCCATGTGCACATTTTGGCACAACCTGGAGGCTCACATAGGGTGGTTGTGAGTGCAAGATCATTGGGGGCAGTGAAGCAGAGAGCCTGGGTAGCAAAAGTCTTCACTTGAAAAACGGTATTTCCTATCAGGCTTTTTTCTCTACCACAATTACAGTGTCCTACATCTAGAGGCAAAGTTTGCCTCCTCTTTGCTCCCCACAGGGAACTCAATCTTGAGTCTCTGTACCTTTCCCAGTGATTGAGCAAAAGGTTCTAATATCCAACAGCCCAAAACCAACTTGCTGGGTCTGACTTGCCAGACATTGGTGCCTTTTAAGAACATGACCATGAACTTCACCTGACAGAAATGTAGACATTTGGACCTGGCCCAGAAGATGCTGTACCTAAGTGTGAGACTGGAGAATTGTGGGCTTGCAGTCTTGCTGGGAGAGGCTTCACTTCTGTTCCATGCCTCCTTGATTCCACCCTCTTGTACATACCTGCCTGGTAAGCAAAGCCTCTTGGGCCTTTCTCCCAGTAGCCACAGGTCCTGCTGTAGTCTGTGTTCTGGTCTCACATCTTTTTGCCCGGTCTCCTTATGTCTGCATCAGAGATCTGAGGGGTTAGAGACACAGTACTTGTAACACAAATGCTCACCCCAGTGCTCTGCACTCTGGCCTCAGTCTGAGATCTTTCTGGAATCCAGAGAAGAGAACTTGATTGATCTAGCCTGGTTTGGTCAAGCGTCCCCACAGATCAGTTAGCAGGACTGTGGGTGTGATGGGCTGTCCTCAGAGAAGGGGCTGAGTCAGCAGGGCCTCCTAAGTAGCATTTCCCATTTCCATGAATGCCCCCAGGTATCTTCTTAAATAACTCAATATTGGCTAAAAACAAAACAAACAAGAAACTTCCTGTGCCAACAAGATCTTGTTTCCTGAGGCCTAGGCTATACTCTTCCAGTGCTATGGGAAATGATTTCAGATGGCATCAGGTGGCATGAGTAGATAACCTAAGAAAGCCTACCCTGTTCCCCTTCTCTTTTCCTCCTGAATGTTTTCAAGAAGTAATTTTAGTTCGGTTTTCAGTCATTGATGTCCCCTGACTGGCTAATTTCTATTTTCTGTGAAGGAGCAGGTAGCATGAACTCACTGGAGCTTAATGGCAGTATTTTTTGTTTGTTTTTATTCCTTGAAATTACTTACTGGGAGTGCATAGGAGATATTATCCTTTGAGGATAATTTATCATTTGTTGCAAATCAAACTGCTTTTCCCACATACCAGAGCAATCTAAGTTTCCTTTGTAAAATGAATCTAAGATTCATAAAAAGTGGGTTTGTTTACACTGAAACCAGTAGTAATAATGTCCACAGCTAATGTCCCCTGATGCTGACTAATGTCAGGCCTGTCTCAAGCATTATTCATGACCACTCACATTTACTGCTCATGACATTCTGTCCTCTCAAAGCCAGAAAAATTCAGCCAGTGCAGTGAAACACTCATAAAGCTCAACTTACTCAATTTAGAAGATACCCCTTTATTATGAGATGCTGTCCTCTGCCTTTGGTGGTAAAAATCCTTATTCTTCTAAAATGTGGATGACAGTAGATGAGAGTTGATATCTGAAATGTCTAGGGACCAAATCCCTATGTGACCTTTTTTTAGTGGTTCATGAAATGCTGATATCTGGGAGTCATCCAGAAATCATCCCCTTCTATAGGTTCCTTTTCCTCCCTTCCCTGTGTTAAATCCCACTCACATTCCCTCCTCACCTCTATATCCCACTTCCCAAAGCTGCTGGCCCCACACAGCAGTTGTGAGTCATTTTCTCCTTTAATTAGCACCTGAAGACCTGCTCTGGAACCAGACCACATGGTGTTAAGTTCCAGCACTGCTGTTTGTAAGCTGTGTAACCCTGAATAGGGTAATCCTTGGTAAAATGGTGTATTATGGTATCTACTGCACAGGATTGTTATTAAGGTAATTTTTTTAATGTTTGATAAGTGCATGGAAAAGGGACTAGTGCTCCCTGACTCAGTGGGTATTAGTGGTTATCATCCCTGCTGCCACCATCATCATCATCAACATGCCTGGACTTGGTGTGTTCTAGAGCAAATAACCAAATTCACGTTGAAAATAAAGCCTGTGCCAGGCACAGTGGCTCATGCCTATAATCCTAGCACTGTGGGAGGCTGAGGTGGGAGGATTGTTTAAGCCTAGGAGTTTGAGACCAGCCTGGGCAATATAGCAAGACCTTGTCTCTATAATAAATAAAACATTATCCAGGTGTGTTGGAGCTTGCCTATAGTTTCAGCTACTCGGGAGACTGAGGCAGAAGGATCACCTGAGCCCAGGAGATCAAGGCTACAGTGAGCTGTGATCATGCCACCTGCACTCCAGCCTGGGTAACAGAGTGTGACTCCAACACACACACACACCCTCCTCTCCTCTCCCTCACGCCTATAATCCCAGTACTTTGAGAGGCTGAGAGAGGAGGATTGCTTAAGCCCAGGAGTTCAAGTTCTACAACACATCAAAAAATTAGCCAGGAATGGTAGTGTGTGCCTGTAGTCTCAGCTACTCAGGAGACTGAGGCAGGAGGATCACTTGCTGGGATCCCAGAAGTTGAGCCCAGGAGTTTGAGTCTCAGAGGAAGAGAGGGAGAAGGGGAGAAGGGGAGAAGGAAAGAGGGGATGAGGAGGAAAGTGGGAGAGGGAAAGAAACAAATAGTTAATGCAACTGGCCCTGTGAAACTCTGACATCGTACTAAGACACCTTTAAGGTAATGACAGTGGAGACTTTTAGAGAGTAGAATGCCAATTACCCTAAGCAGCACAGAAACATTTTACTATCAGAGTATAAAGGAATAACACAAGAAGTCCTTGTAGGACAGCTTATTACTAGGTTTACCATTAATATGGCATTAACCAAGAAAAGAGATCTGAAATTTTGAAGATTTCAAACAATATTTTGGTGGAGTTGCAGTGTGTTGAAAAAGTATTGGATATATAATAAAATCTTGGTATATTTCTTGGGCCTGGCAGTTATGTTGTTGGAGGATATGAAATAAGCCAGTAAAGTATATGTAAAGATTAGTGTTATTTGCATGTAGCCAAGGAGAAGGAGTGAGTGGCTATAGTCAGAGACGCAGAGGTCCTAGTGGAAATCTGCAGAGGGCAGTAGTAGAAAGCACTGGAGAGTAAGTGGTCCTCTTTCTAGGGTTTGAGGAGTAGACTGATAAGAAGCAGGTGCCTCCTAGGGAAAGCAATAATCTCCATTAATTTTTAAATTGGGCCAGGCATGGTAGCTCATGCCTGTAATTCCTGAACTTTGGGAAGCCAAGGGGAGAGGACTGTTTGAGCCTAGGAGTGCAAGACCAGCCTAGGCAACACAGCAAGGCCTGTAGTCCCAGCTATGCAGGAGGCTGAGGTAGAAGAGATCTCCTGAATGCAGGAGGTCAAGGCTGCAGTGAGCTATAACTGTGCCACTGCATTCCAGCCTGGGTAATAGAGTGAGACCCCCATCTCAAAAATAAAATAAAATAAAATCTGTACAAATATAAAAAAGGTACACCTATTACTACCCTCAAAGACTTCACTGATGAGGATTTGACATCATCTCACACTTCCTGGAGTCTCTGGATCACTTAAGATACCAGAAACTGCCCCTCATGGCCCTGTGCTCTACAACATTAAAACAAGAATTGCTGGTTACATGTTGGACTCTCATAGATATAGAAGATCTCACAGATACTTAGTCTGTGGCTTTCCATATCTAACTGGCCTTTATGCTTTGGAACATCAAAATAACACTCCACAAGCTCAGCTCAATCATCAAGGTATATACTAGAATATACTAGAAGGCCAGGTTTGGCTCCATCCTGTATTGACTTCTCAATACAGGATGGAGCCAAACCTGGCCTTCTAGTATATTCCACCAGTAGGAGGGAGTGACCTCCTCTGTTCTCAGTCTCTTGACAGTTGCCATTGTGCTGGAGGATGTCACCCTCCCCCAGACCCCTTGGTTAGGTGGGGAGCCCCTTTGGAATAACAGAGTGAACAGCAATGGGAGTCTGTAGACTGTACCAATGGCACTTTTAACCATCATACATGATTGGCCTCAGTAGAATGCTGCTGCTTTCTAGCCCTTAGCCTGTTAAAGGACAGGGTCCAAGAGATAACATACTTTGCCAGACTTCAGGCAGTCATTGTAGCATTGGATGCCCTTGTCAGTAAATTGTCCCATCTTTACACTTATTACAAACGCTTGGGCCATTGCCTAAGAGCTTTTTCCTTTAGGGTAGAAGATATCACCTAAGAGGATATCATCTCAGGCCAAGATTTTGCTGTTGGAGGGGACTTCATCCCCAGCACTGGAGATAGCTTCACTTTTTGCACTCAAACCTCTATCCCGGCCGGGCTTGGTGGCTCAGCCTGTAATCCCAGCACTTTGGGAGGCTGAGGTGAGTGGATTGCCTGAGGTGAGTGGATTGCCTGAGCCCGCAGGTTGGAGACCAGTCCAGGCAACTTGGCGGACCTTGTCTCCACCATAATTAAAAATTAGCCGGGCTTGGTAGCGCATGCCTGTAGTTCCGGCTACTTGGAAGGCTGAGGCGAAGTCTCACCAGAGCCTGGCAGATCAATGGTGGGATGGCTGCGAGCATGCCACTGCACTCCTGCCTGGGCGATGGAGACTCCAACTCAAATAAATAAATAAATAAATAAACCTCTGCCCCATGAACTGAGTTTTCTAAGGTGCAATTTGGACAAAGTACATTTATGGCTTTTCTTTATTTAATGTTAGAGATTCTGATTTTTCCTCCAGGAGCCTGGGATACAGCTTGCTTTATGCCAACACAATCACCCACATACTCTTATGCCTAAAGGGGTATCTGGTAGAGGTTATCACTACTGTACCTTTTATCTTTTTGTTACACAAATTATTTTAGTACTGTAAAATAAAAGAAAATCTCAAGACCTCCAAACCTACCAACGGGAGAGGTAAGACTGAGAACCGAATGACTCACTACCATCCTTTTTTCCAAACAATAGTCATGACTTCACAACCCTGGAAGGAGCAAACGAGCCCACCTGACATCGCCAGCAACCAAGGGCTGTGGCCCGACCCGGCCTGTCTCTAGTGGGTTCCGAGTGGAGGGTCAGCAGCTGCTCCAAGACTCGAGGGGCCAGCCCGGCCGTTGAGCAGGCGTTTCCGGCGGGGGGAGGGGTCCTCGTGGGGGTCGAGCCGCCCGTAGAGCCCCGGATCCCGGTGGGTACCTTCTCCTGCACACCCGCCGGGACGACCTCGGGGCGGCCCTCACGCAGAACGGGTCCTCACTTGGCCTCCGGGACTCCGCGGGCCCCGAAGCCCCGCCCGGCCTGGAGTCTCCCGTCGCCGACAGAACCTCCGACGCGCCGAAATGGGCCCAACAGTCTCAGCCGCCAGCACCGGCAGAGCAGAGGACGCGCCTTCGCTTCTCGGAGCAACCTGTCGGGTGACGTGTCCACGCGGAGCCGCGGCCTTTGGGGGCGACAGTGTCGCTTCTGGGAGCACCTGAGCTTGATGAGCTTGACATCACGTCTCCACACACGTCGGCGCTGAGCACCAGACGAGCCCACCGCCGAAAGCGGCTCCGGGACGTAGAGGCTCAGCCCCGCCCCGCTCTGGAAGACGCGGACAGTTATCCCCAACGCCCAGCGCGGCCACGCGGTCTTGGGTCAGGTACGCAGCATCCTTCCCCGCCCTCGCGGAGCAGGGGGAACTGCATTACCCAGAAGGCTCTGTCCCTAGCTGCAAGGACGCCAGGCCAATGAGCGCTCAGAACAGGCCCGTTTCCGGCTTTAGACCCAATAATAGGGGCGGGACATCCGGCGTCGATGCAGTGGCGCTCGTTTCAGTGGCGCTTGAGTTCGTACACGCCATCAGAGCTGGCGCGCTTTGTTCGGCGGGAGGGACAAGAGCGAATAGGCGCGAGGGGAAGGGTCCTCTCAGCTGAGCAGCTGCTGGTCTGCCCGCGTCCCCGCCCGGGTCGCTCGCCGGTCCCGGCCCCGCGCCGCCCAGAGTCCGATGGCGGCAGCCGCGCGGAGGGACCCGGCTCAGGTAAGTGCTGCGTCCTCCCGGCCTCACTCGCCCTCACCCCCATCCGGGGTCTGAGGACCCGAGAGGGCGCGCCCTCTAGGGTCGCTACAGTCGAGATCTCCGTGGTCAGTACGGGGCTTTGGGGGTGGGGGTCCCTGTTTCCAGAACTAGAATGATGAGGTGGGGAGAGTGTGGCAGACAGAGGTGCCGGCGTTTGTGAAGTCGTGGAGGTTGAGTCAGGAACGCTCACGCCTGAAATGGCAGGGTGAGGAGGGTTCATTCTCAGGACGCTGGGGCCCTGGAGGGTTGTGCGCAGAAGAGGTGCATGGTACAAAGGCCGCTCAGAGTTAGAACAGACTAGAACTGGACAACACTAAGGCACAGGGAGGTTGAGTCTTGGTGTAAGAGTTACCACATAAGACTGGAACACTGAAGGCTCAGAAGTAATGTAGACATCCTCAGCTCACCTGGCTCTGGCCTGGTCGTGGGGGGATACAGGAAAGCCTGAATCCGCGAATCCCTGCCATGGTAACTTGTCTCTCAAGACTTTTCTCTTTTCACAGGTTCCCTTGACTACAGAAGCACTTATGGACCTCACAAAGGTGAGTGAAGCCTGTCCCAAACTCTCAGCGCTCCTGACTGCGTCCTGGGGGTTTTTTTTGGATCTTTTTTGCCACTCATCCCCTCCTTGAACCTAAAAACCCTTAACAAACCCCAAGCCTTGATTCTAGACTGGGGGATTATTTGTATTAGGTCCTATTACTGGTAGACAGCAGAATGGGGTGTGAAAGGTTGTCCTGGGCATAGGGATCCAAATGTGTAAGGTTGGAGGTGAAGCTGATCTGGTTCAGAAAGAAAGGAAACCCAGGTTGCCTTTCTTTCTCATGAGACTGAGAACAGCAGGGCAGGATTTAGACCTGGAATGGATCTGTAAAATTAGATGTCTATTCTGGAGGTGACAGGGGCAATGGGAGGTTTAGAGAAGAGGAGGGAGATTATTGGAGGCTGGTCTTAACAGGCTTCCTGTTAACCATAGTGTAGGGAATACTCTGTGCCTGTGAGGGAGGTGATAGACCAGGGAGAAGGCTACTGCAGTAGTTAAGATGAGTGTTAATAGTGGCTGGACCCGTGTGGTGGAGGTGGAAGAAGTAGTTAGATTCTGGGTTCGTTTTTTATTTAGAGCTGTCTGGATTTTCAGATTTTAGGGTGAGAGGGAAAGGTAGTAGTTAAGATTTACTCCAGGCTTTTTGAGTTTAGCATCTGGAAGGATGGAAGTTTTATCGACTAGAATGTAAAGTTGGTAGTAGGGCTAATTTTTACTGGAGATATCAGGAGTTTTGTTTTTAGCTATAGTCCTAATCTGAGATGTTCTGTAGAACATGGAGAGGTCAGGTACATAGCTGGCCACATAGGTCTGGAATTCTAAGGAGTGGTTTAAGGTGGAGAAATCCAAAGGTGGTGGCCAGTGTTTAGCCCAGTGTATTCCCACAATTAGGAGTGTGAATCCTAGTCGTAAAGGTAAAGCTGTTAACAGCCCAGGAAAGGAAAGTGAGGGCTATGACTGGGTCTTGTGCTTGGACACCTGGGTAGAGGTGGGAGAGATGTGGCTATGGGAAAGGTATAGAAAAGAGGATGATCTGGCAGGTGGTCAAGGCTTCCAAGGCAGTAGGGACATAAGACAGGCATAGTAATATTTTGTAGAAGGTGATACTGAGGCCAGGTACAATGAGTCCCTGCAAAATTCATACGTTTAAACCCTAGTTCCTGTGTGATGGTATTGGACATTTAAACCCTAGTTCCTGTGTGATGGTATTGGGAGGTGGGGACTTCAGGAGGTAATTAGGTCATAAAGTGGAGCCCTCATGAATGGGATTAGTGATGAGTGCCATTAAAAGAAAATGCCAGAGAACTAGGTAGTGCTCTTTCTCCATGTGAGGATATAAGAAATCAGCAGTCTGTAACTAAAAGAGTCCCCACCAGAACATGGCCATGCTGGCACTCTGATCTCAGGCTTCCAGCTTCCACATGTATGAAAAATAAATTTCTGTGGTTGATAAGCCACCCAGTTTATTGTATTTTGCTGTAATAGCCCAAACGTACTAAGATACCAGGATTAGTGCTTACTCACCATGCTATGGACTCAGGATTTTGTTGTGACTCTCAGTGTGTCTGGGGTGGTGGTGGGGATATTAGTCAAGCAGATGGATAAGCGTAGGGTACAAGTGTTCATCTGTGCAAATCACTGGGTCTGGGGTGGAGAGCCACTGAGTTTCTGAGCCATTGAGGCCACTGATTTTGAATGAGGGTTAAGAGGTGAGAGGATGGCTGTGACTGAAGAGGACAGCAAGTGTATCACAAGTGGAAGAGGGTTATGGGTGTCTGAGATTCCCCAGGTGGTTCTAGATGGCTGAGGTTGAAACAAGGAACGGAGTCATACAGGGAGGCTTTTAGAGCAGGATGAGGGCTGTGACAGTAGAAACTGTTGGAGCTATTGGTAGCACTGAACTCTGTCTCAATTTGCCAAGCACTCTCTGAATGCCTAGTGCTGAGTAACAAGTGGGGAGGCCAGGGAGATGCCTATGGTGTAGGGCAGAGGGATGGAGGTGGTTGTACAAGTGAGACTGTGTGAGTGAGTGTGCTCCAAAGAGTGATATTCACATGGAGAGGGAGTGTGAACTGAAGGACCCAGGCCCCTGGCCTTGAGGACAAAAGGGTGAAAGGTGAACCCATATTTGGTCGTATCTGGGAAGTACCATCTGGAGGATTCCTGGGGAATTGCCTGACAGGAGGGGATATAACCCTATATTCCAGGCCTAACATTTAGACAGTGTCTCCCTGCCCACCTACTGGTTGGTGCTGTGGAAGAACACAGTGACCATTGGGCCATAATGAGAGAGTGGACATTGGTGGCACCAGGGCCTATATTTCCTCTGAGATGGGGATAAATGAGTAGGTGGATGAACTTGATTGTGGTGTGACCTGTCCCCATCATGACAGGGCTCTGTGACCTTTGAGGACGTCGCCATTTACTTCTCACAGGAAGAGTGGAGAGTTCTTGATGAGGCTAAGAGGCTCCTGTACCTTGAAGTGATGCTGGAGAACTTTGAGCTTGTAGCCTCTTTGGGTAAGGCCCTCAAACCAATCCCAGTGTCCTGATCTCTGTCCTCTTTTTCTCTAGAGATAGCTCAACCCTTCCCATAGCCAGATCTTGGATTCTGCTGACTTGCCCATTTTCTTGGGATGTTTACAACGGGTGCCAGCACTGAGCTGTGTGTACTGCCTGAGCAGCCCTAACACTTGCTGCCCCAGGTGGTCTGAGAGGCAGGTGTTTTGCAGTTAGTGAAATGGATATTTTTTTCTTGCTTGTCCTTTGCTATGTCATGATTGCTGCCTGTGTCGTGATCGCAGGCATTGTCATGGTCTGTATCTATGGGGACCATGAGCTATTTTACCCACTCCCTCCTTCTCGTTTTTTTTTTTTAATAATAATTTTCTTTTCTATGGACTGTTGTGTGCCAAGTTGCTCTGCATTAGTGCTGACTGCTCACATGTTCTATCTTTCCTAGGACTTGTTTCACTCAGGTCCCACATAGTTAGACAACTGAGGGCGTGGGGAGAAACCTGATTGCTTCATAGGATGAACATGGTTTCAGAGGAGGCCTTTTGAGTGGCAACTAGGGGAAGGCATGACATCTGAGATGGGGATGAATGAATAGGTGGGTGAACTTGATTGTGGAGGTATTGATTGTGTAGTGACTTACCCCCATCATGACAGGGCTCTGTGACCTCTAAGGAGATTAGCATTTTCAAATCATTTAAGGAAACTGTCCTGTGTTCAACACTGTTGGGGTACACATGACACTGATCAAACCTCATTTCTACATTTCCCCACATTTAGTACATTTCTTTTTTTTATTTTTATTTTTATTTTTTTTTGAGTTGGAGTCTCACTCTGTTGCCCAGGCTGGAGTGCAGTGGCATGCTCCCAGCCACCGCAGCCTCGACCTGCTGGGCTCCGGTGATCCTTCCACCTCAGCCTTCCAAAGTAGCTGGAACTACAGACGCGCGCTACCATGCCTGGCTGATTTGATTTACTGTAGAGACAAGGTCTCGCCAAGTTGTCCCAGGGGGTCTCAAACCCGCGGGCTCAGGCAATCCATTTGCCTTGGCCTCCCAAAGTGCTGAGATTACAGGCTGAGCCACCGAGCCCAGCCTGGTACATTTCTGTCTTGGTATTTTATGTGGGACTTCCAGCACCTAGTTACCTCCACCTTTCTGGCTTCAGTACATTACCTGCTGTTATGCACTACTTCTTCTGCAATGTTTTTCAACACACACACACACACACACACACACACACACACCACACACACACATGCCTCATTACCTATGCACATATGATTATGAACCTGAGCACTCAGTTTCAACTGAATTTTCCTAGGCTTGGGCACAACCAAACTTCTGCCCAGCATGCAGGACCAGACATGGTCCTACTGAAGACTGTGTGATGAGTTTTAGGGCTCTGGGGGGCTACTCAAGGATAACTTTTGAGGCTGTTGGTAAAGGAGTGATTTGGATACACTGCCTCTATTTGTGCTGCATCCCATCTTTGTGTCCTTCATCTGGTGAGGCCATCCCCATTTTGTGATCTTTAGAGGTCCAGTATTGCCAACCAGCCCCTTCCTCAACTGCTCCCAGATCCCTTATCCTCAGAACAAACCTGTAGAACCATTCCTTTTATGTGTGTGTAGTGGGGCTTCTTGCTGTCAACATAGTCAACTTGCATTTCATCAGCAATTCTCTGCTTTCAGGTTGCGGACATGGAACAGCAGAGGATGAAGAGACACTTTCTGAGCAGAATGTTTGTGTAGGAGTATCACAGTCTAAGGCAGCTTCATCTACCCAGAAGACTTACCCCTGTGAGATGTGTGTCCCAATCCTGAAAGATATTTTGCAGCTGGCTGATCTGTCTGGGCAGAAACCATACTTGGTTGGAGCATGTGCAAACCGTCACCAGCACCAGAAGCCTTACAGTGCAAAGAAACCTTTGAAGAAGGACATAGACAGAGCCTCATATGTGAAACATTGTCTATTCCGTGTGTCAAGGAGGCCCTTCCTCAGTTGGGAGGTTGGGAAGGATGTCCCAGCCATGTTAGGGCTTCTAAGGTCCCTGATCTTTCCCAAAGGTGAAAAGCCCAACAAAATCACTGAGTGTGGGGAAGACATTCACAATAAAAAAAATCATCACAAGTCAGAGAAACGTGGGAAAGCTTCCAGGCACAAACACATTCCTGTTCACTGCTCAAGAGTCTATACTGGAAAAAAGCTTTATGAATGTAGCAAATGTGGGAAAGCCTTCCGTGGCAAGTATTCACTTGTTCAGCACCAGAGAGTTCATACTGGAGAAAGGCCTTGGGAGTGCAGTGAATGTGGAAAATTCTTTAGCCAGACCTCCCACTTGAATGACCATCGGAGAATCCATACTGGAGAAAGACCTTATGAATGCAGTGAATGTGGAAAATTCTTTAGACAAAACTCCAGCCTTGTTGACCACCAGAAAATTCACACTGGAGCAAGGCCTTACGAGTGTGGTCAGTGTGGGAAATCCTTTAGCCAAAAAGCCACCCTTGTTAAACACCAAAGAGTTCACACTGGAGAAAGGCCTTATAAGTGTGGTGAATGTGGGAATTCCTTTAGTCAAAGTGCCATTCTTAATCAACACCGAAGAATTCACACTGGAGCAAAGCCTTATGAGTGTGGCCAATGTGGAAAATCCTTTAGCCAAAAAGCTACCCTCATTAAACACCAGAGAGTTCACACTGGAGAAAGGCCTTATAAGTGTGGTGAATGTGGGAAATCATTTAGTCAAAGCTCCATCCTTATTCAACACCGTAGAATTCATACTGGAGCAAGGCCTTATGAGTGTGGACAATGTGGAAAGTCCTTTAGCCAAAAATCTGGCCTAATTCAACACCAGGTAGTTCACACTGGAGAAAGGCCTTATGAATGTGACAAATGTGGGAATTCCTTTAGCCAGTGCTCCAGCCTCATTCATCACCAAAAATGTCATAACATGTAGAAGCCTTGTGAAAACAGGAAATGTGGAAAAGCCTTCAGCCCAAGGTCTAACATTGTTTAGTCACTGGAAGGCCACACTTGAGAAAGGCCTTTGGTCCTGCAAAGCATGAGCTGTCTTTCTTCAGTATTATGATGCAGAGAGCCTTTGTGAGGGAGCCATCTGCCTGAAGTTGAATTTCATATTTTCAAACCTTCAGAGCAGTGAGATTCCACATGAATTCTAGGCATGCATGAGACTTAAAAAAAGCAGCCCTGCACTTCCTAAGCTGCCTAAGACCCTTGCCAGAGTTATATCACTGCCGGTTACTTTGGTAGAAGCTGTCTCCCTTCTACCACCTTGCACAGTGGGCATTGGTCACTCTAACATGCTAAGGCAAGGCAGGTATGTATATGTTCTCTCATTTCTTGAAGGAAATTATGAACAGTCTGAGCCTTTAGGAGGAATTCATTTTCTGAGTGATTAAAGCATACATCTGACTTAAGTTTTGGTCAGAAGGACCCAGTTTGGGTTCTGGAGGGTTATATGTAAGGCTTGCCTTCTTCATGGAAACTCTTAGTCTCACATGACACTTGGTAATTTTTCCAGCCTTCAGGTCAGCTGGTAACTGGCTACCGCCTGTTACTGTTTTGTGTGCTAGTAAAGGCCTTCCTGTTAAATCTACCTGAAATCTTAGTGTTTTGCTTACTGTATAGGGTGGCTAGAAAACATACTTGGGCTCTTTATAAAGGAAAGTGCAGCTTTTGTTGGGCCTCAACTTTGTCTATGTAGGAAAAGCTAAAAGAAAGTTCTTATTCTGGTTTTGGTCAGATTTGTCTTGCTGCCCAAGAACTTGGAAATTGCAAGGATTTTGTCCTAATTTGTTGCCTGGATCCCTATACTTTCTGTGAGACTAGATGTTGCCCTGAGATGAGGTTAGCTGTTATGACAAAGTCCTGTGCTTCTGGGAATAAGATGAATTTGTTGTTCCCAGAGAATATTATATAATGCTCAGCACTGTTGATACCAATCATTCCATAGGCTGGTGTCACTCAGAAGATAACAGGAATCAGATATGGACTATAACTAGTATTAAATAGCTGGATGTGGAGGAGTCTGCAGCAATCAAGATGAAATAATCTGTAGAAGTACATGCACATATCTTCCAGTGACTGTGGCTGTGAGCAGTCATAGGACCTAGAAATGTGTATCAGCCAAGATCATTGTCAGCAAAAATCTAAAGGTTTTGTGGATTCTTGTGGACTTACTGGGATGTTCACCTCAGGTCCATTGCTATAGAGAATAGAGAAAATGGCGATCTTATAGGCTAGGGATATAGCTTTGTGATTCCACCAGTATTGACTGTTGTCTCAGATCACAACAGCCTTCATTGCTTACCAGTATTTCATGCATTGATAGATGCAGGATTGTCCTTACCCAGGCACAAGGAAAGAGATAGTGCAATCATCATGGGGTTGCTACACCTTTTAGTTTCCAAAAAGAACATTAGATATTCTATTTCGAACTATGTTTTACAAATTTTCATATATAAGTGACTTGCGATAGTTCATATATATTTACAGTGTATAATTTGAAGATTTGTGTCATATAAACTCATGAAGCCATTATGAGTTGGCTGGGCATGAGTCGAACATGTTCATGATTCATCTCATGTTCTTTTATAATCTCTACCTACTCTTTCCAGGCCTGCAAGCATCCAGTGATTTATTCACAAAATAGTTTGTGTTTCCTAGAAGTTTATGTATCTTAAGTCATGAAATCTCTACCCCTTTTTTTCCTGATCTGTGGATATGCCACAATTTTTTTTATCCATTCTTCTTAATGGGCAGTTGGGTTGTTTTCAGTTTTGAGCTGCTACAAATAATGCTACTATGAACATAGACATAGAATTCTAAATATGCATAAATGTTTTATTTCTACTGTACCAATGCTTCAGTGTATGTGAATGCTTCACTTTTAAAGAAACTGCCAAACTGTGATCTAAACTGTACTATTTGCATTCCCATTTACAGTATTGAGCTTTCTTGTTCCTCTACAGCCTTGCCAGTACCCAGTATGGTCAGTCTTTTTAATTTAGTTGTTTTAATAGTTGTATAATGGCATCTGATTTTAATTGTATTTTTCTGATATTTTATGATATTGAACATTTTTTTATGTGTGTTTATGTGTCACCTGTATGTCTTTGGGAAAAAGTTCATTAATGCCTTTTACCTAATTTTAAATGGATTTAGTGATGATGTTTTTCCTTTTCATTAATAAATAGAATACCTGATTTTTAAATATTTGTCAATTTTCCTGGTAAAATGTCCTTAGAATATTGTCAAAATAATGTTACCGAACTTGATTTGGGAATAGGTGGGCAGCAGCATACCATTATATTCTATTTTCACCATACTGATACAACCTCAGAAATATGTAGGAAAACAGCCTGTTTGGCAAAAGTGACATTAACACTGTCTTGAAGTAAAACTGCCATTATGGTCCCCTTCTTTCATAAAGATGCTTATCTCACTTTCCTATGGTGAAGAATGATATTTCCCTTTTGATTAATAGACATGTATAACAAAGATGTTGGAGCTTCACTTATTCTTGGCCAGAAAGCCTGAAGACTGAGCAGCTACAAGTGTTTTACCCTAAAAGCTTGCTATATAAAGGATACTTTCTGGGAGCAGGTGCAGGATCTAGCCATCCTCTCTCAGCTGCACAAGACATCACTTTTGTTCATGACTATTAACTGTTTCTGAAAACTGAATTTGTCAGCCTCTTTCTTTGGCCTCTCATCTCCCTTGGCCTTTGGGAATAGGTTTGCTTATACCTTCTCACCATGGAACAATCTATAAAGCAGTAAGATAATTAGGAAATGACAATTTTTTAGTATTTATTACCTGTATCTTTTAAAAAATAGCTTAAGTGTAGTTGTCTTACGTGATTTGTGCATATTTAAAGCATATGATTTATATTTTGATATATACTTAAACCCCTGAAACCAACTTGCCCTTTTTAGTCCATCCCTCTTAATGTGAAATGACTACAGTGTACAAGGACATACTCTGCCCCTTCTAATGGATATTTTCAAATTAATGTACACAAATGGAAAGGACTCTTAGGAAGCCCTGTAGATTTTTGCTCATTCTTTCACATTCATTGATTATTTTAAAGCTGTTCTTGTCTCACCTGTTCCCACACACATTTCTAGATTGTTTTGCTTAACAATTTCTACATCTTGTCATTCAATGCTGCATCTCTTCAGAATGTTTCCAAACATAAGAACTCTTTCATAATCCTTATAGTTTTGTCAAACAAAATAAGTCATCATACAGTGCATTGTCAGTGCTCAGTTGTCTCCAAAAATCTATTTGTTTTTAAAGATATATTCATTGCAATCAGATCCAAGATGAATCTGTATGACAGTAGTTTTGTCCACTGAGTTTCTGCTAATGCATAGCTACCACTTTATTATTATTATTTGTTCATTGAAGTTGCTGAGATAGTTGTCCATCAGAATTTGCCAGATTTTGGAAAAAAAGGTTACATTGTGTATGATTTGAACTATATGACATTCTGAAAAAAGCAAATTATAAAGAGACTCAAAAGTTAATGGTTGTCAGGGGCTTGGGGGAGGGAGGAGGTAAACAGGTGGAGCATATATTTTAGAGCAGTGAACTATTCTGTATGATACCATGATGAATACAGGTCAGGTCATTATTACACATTAGTCAATACCCTGGAACATCTAACACCAAGAGTAAATTCTAATGTAAATGAAGGATTTTAGATGATAATGACATCTCAATGCACAATCTTGTAACAAAGGTACATTCTAGTGAGGAATGTTTAAAGTTGGGTGGCTGTACATGTGGGACAAGGAATATATGGGAACTCTGTTTTGCTCATTTTTGCTGCTCTAAAAAATAGTCTATTTAAAAAGAAAAAGACGAGTTAACTAAATTGTAAATTAACAATATTTTGTCATATTTATACAGTGTGAACAACTCAATAGATTAATTTGGACACATTGAACTTGGCATGCTAGTTATTGCCATGAGTAACGTAGTTGATTCAAGTTCTTTAGAGAGAGGGTGTCTGTGACCTGGTGCCGCCCAAAAGATGCAGAGAGTTGCACAGAAGTTAGATTGGAAAACAGGTTTTTTAGAAAGTAAATTGGAGAGAGATGAGAGATTCCCATTCCCAAGTTGGGGTGGGGGGAGGTAGGGAGCGTATAGGAGCAAAGTTTAAGGGAAAATGGCTGGCTGTAGTTCATAGAACCATGTGACCAGACCAGAGCTTAAAACAAAGCATGACTGTCATAGCTCAGTGAACATATGACCTGGCCAGAGCTTAAAGAGAAGCAATGGTGGCTGCTATTTGAGGTTGAATGCCTTTTAAAGCTTCCCTTTGATGGGGACAAGTCATTAAGGTGATCGCATGGCGGTCTATTTTACATCATCGGGAAGCACGGGTACTGACATCACAATGATGGACAGCAGGCACAGTGGTAATCTAGTCACATGACTGTTACCAAGGTGATAGGGTCTTTGTAAGGAAGGTCATGATGACTGATTAGGTTAACTTGGTTTCTTATGACTGAAGCAAATACTTGAAATAGAAAAGCTAATTAATACAAAACAAGCTGGGGAGAAGGTTGTAAAACAATTATCAATAACTACCGGTGGGATACCAGTTCTGTCCTTGGCTAGTGATTACAGGTTAAACTAGGCAATTTTGTTAAAAAAAACATGACAATTATTCAAGGTCCTCTTAATGTTTTCTTAACAAAATTACCTAGTTTAACCTGTAATCACTAGCAAAGGACATCCTATATACTTATAATAAAAATTAAAAGTCGGGCTCGGTGGCTCAACCTGTAATCCCGCGCTTTGGGAGGCTGAGGTGAGTGGATTGCCTGAGCCCGCAGGTTCGAGACCCGCTTGGGCAACTTGGCAAGACCTCATCTCTACAATAAAAATCAAAAATTAGCCAGGCGTGGCAGCGCGCGCCTGTAGTTCCAACTATTTGGAAGGCTGAGGCGGAAGGATCACCGGAGCCCAGCAGGTCAAGGCTGCAGTGGCCGCACTGCACTCCAGTCTGGGCGACAGAGTGAGACTCCAACTCAAAAAATATATATATATATTAAAAGAATATGTAAGCAGCAGGATCTTAGATTTCTGATCAGCTGAAGTACATTCT